CCCAGGTATGTACATGTGTATGTGAAGATGTTTTGCTATTTCATCGACTATTTACATATTTTAATGAATGAATAAGCAATTTACGAATTAGCTTTGAAGCTGAAGTTTCCTTCTGTAGTTAAAGCGTTATTATAAAATGAAGAGAAGTATACCAGTCTTACTTTTACAGATGAAAAGCAGAATTCATAAACTACTGCTGGACGGTATGGTCAAAAATCTGTGTCACGGTATTTTATAAGATTCTGCCGGTTTCACGGTATATCGGTATTTCACTAATACAGGGCATTCATTTCCAAAGACTGGGTCGGGACACACACTTGGGTCGTGGGAGATTTTATGTTTTCTCATTTATAAAGTATTTAAAGTGTGTAGATCATACTCATGATGGAAAACAAGATCCTTAACTCCTTTAAGTGAGCGTACATTCTGGAAGTAGGAGGTGGGCTCTTCAAATTTATAAAGTCTTTAAAAGAAGTTGTCATTTAGCATCTGTATATCTCTTCAAAATGGCTGCTCTACCTGGCAAGTACTAATAATTGTCACAGATTGTTGTGCTGTGGTGCTCTGCTGACTATAAAGGGCTCTACCCAGATGTCCCCATATAGTTTGTGGATTTAGACTGGAAATGAACCCTTCTTGTTTTGATCATTCAATGTGTTCTTTACATTTTTTTTAGTGTTTTTTAGATGGTGAGTGTTCACATTATGTGTTCTTGTTTCAGTGTGCGAGGGTCGGCAGAGGTTTACGATGTTCAACGGTGGGTTCAGTAAGGACCAGCTGGACTGGCTGGATTCTGTTCTGTCCTCAGCCGATGAGAAACAGGAGAGAGTCACACTAGTCAGTAAGTAAAAAAATCTCCTACGTTTGCAAAGATTGTTTAATCCTAGCATCCCAGTCAGTGAAGGTGTGTTTTGCTGTTTACTGGTTCAGGCATTGGTAGAATTACATGACGTTTGTATGACACAACCGGTCAGCTACTGCGGATCCAGTTCAACACTCTCCCATACGGCTGAAATGAGCAGGTTGTCATGACCACCGTGTTTGACAGCATAATCTAGCTGTTTTTTACCCAGTTTCCCCTGTGCTTACTCATACAGGCCTTTTTAGCTCCTACCTATTGTGTAGTGCCAGGTATTCAGCTAGCCCCCTTTTCAACAGTGGGCATTGAGCACACTTACCTCTGCAGCGTCACTGATGCACCTGCTCCAACACCAGATCAAAAACCAGCAAACCAACAGTGACAGTGAAGACCATCCTCTCTCCTCTCCGAGGAATCAGCAGTGTGTTCCCCACTGTTTCATTACCTTTTGTGTGTGTTGGAAGAAAGTATCTCTTTTTCCTATTTTGTGGTCTTGTAAGTCTGCTGATTTTTCATTTTAATTGTAAATTTGACTATTTGTCTGATTCTCAACATTAGCAATCATTTGTACCATAGCAACCATTTTTATCATTTCATAATAATCGGATTGGCTACAGAGCAAATCATAGAATGAACCATACACACATTATGAGTCAGAACAACCACAGATCTGGCAAAAAGCAGAGGACTGTGACTTATACCACAGCTAAAGTAGAGCACTCGTGGGCGTGCATGCATCCCTTGTTTACCTACTTCCTCACTTACCACTACACTTTCATGGCAGTTTGGACCAGTAAGAATAGAACCTTAATTTTCATTTTGAATTATTAAAGGGCCACTCCACTGTTTTCTTTTACACGCCATATGCAATTTAGTAGGTAGTTGGTAAGTCAGACTAACTAAGGAGCTGTTATTGAGGGAGCCAGCATGCACAGTAGACCTTTTGACATGTCAGGAGAAAAAGTAAATGATAAATAATAAAATGAATGATGGCTGAATTCCACAGAGCTGCTTCAGTTTCAGGTTACTGGTCCTGTGTGCGTCATCTGCTGTTCAAGTGCTGCCAGATAGCAGAAATCTCAGGTTATATGTAAGAAATTCAGTGCTACTAGATGTTGCACTAGAGCACTACATCTCAGATAAAAACAAATAGGTGCTATGGCCCACCCGACTCCATTGACAAAATCAGTAATTTCTTCCTCGCAGATAATCGTAATACACACTTCAGACTGGAGAGGAAATAAAACAAAACTGACCAAAACCGTCTTTGTCAGTCTTTGCAACAATCTCCAAACACTGGTTTGGATGAAATTATCTCAATTCACAGCGTTGTATGAGAAAATATTGGCAAAGCGTGAACATAGCTCATTCTTTGGAATAATATCCCGTCAAAGTACGTCCACTGAAAGTTCTTTTTTTTGCCACTGACAGGCTCAGCTTGTTGTTCTGCCATTATTAAACATCGCTATCAGACTCCACAGAAATGCTAATTTTGCCAGGCATTGATCCTTAATCCACTGACAAAGACGCCAGACCGGCTTTGTAAACAAACAACAGAGAGGATGCGATAGCAGCACAGACAAATGGAGAGTGAGGACACCATGACTCCACTATATATCTTTACTTAGCTCATTGTTGTTGGCTGCTATATTTGTTTTCTAAATCTAATATATGACCTATCTTTTTTTTTTCCCCTGCCTAGGTCACCTCCCCGTACACCCTTTCTCCACAGACCCCATCTGCCTCGCCTGGAACTTCGATGAGCTCCTGGCCATCATACGCTCCCACAGCAGTGTGGTGTGTTTCATGGCTGGACACGACCACGACGGCGGATACTACCAGGACAGAGACACGGGAGTGCACCACCTGACGTTAGAGGGGGTGATCGAGACCCCACCTGACGGCAACGCCTTCGGCACGGTCTCTGTGTACGAGGACCGGATGGTGCTGAAAGGGAACGGGAGGATCACAGATCGAGTGTTTCTGTTTTCAGGGTGCCAAAGTGACGCAGATCATACGGCAAAATGACACATGCTGTAATGTTTGTAGATTGCTGAGGCAGTCAAGGCAATATTTTTTATTTATACCATGGGATTTAGAAAGGTATATTCCAGATTGGGACATGTACAGGATGTTTACATTCTATGAAGAAGTCAGGGAATTTTACACAGGTCACTTAAATAGAACTATACATGCATCAGTCTCCTATACCATAGCATAGGTGACGTACTGCGAGTTTAGCTGCTCTCATTGGCTGCGCAGTTTCAACTCGTCCATAGCAGGAAACTATAGCGACGAGCCTGGTCACACATTCTCACGTTACAGATAAACAGTGCACTGAAATATGTTTCTGAAAGGATTTTCGGTGGGGAATTAGTAAAGCAGGAACAGAATCTTGATCCGTATTTGATCAGCACTGCCTAGTTCGACAGTTTGATCTGCTTCTTTTTTTGCAGCCAATGGAGCTGCCCCCTGCTGGCCATTACATAAAATGCATGTTTAAGACCGTGTTGGTTTCTTTCCGCAGACCTGGGAGCTCTGTCCACTATATATACTGTCAGTGTAACAAACCTACATACGCTCTGGTCCAGTTACCGCAGCAGAAAACGTACAGTACCTCAAATATTGAATTGCACTTAATGAGTTTTTATTTTAATGACAAAGTGTGAAATATATCTTATGCACTGGTGTGTTTGAATCTGGAGGGCAAATGATATAATTTGTATATTTGTATGCACATATTTTAAGAAGAGAGATTTTTTTTATTGCAGTTGGTGCCTTTTGCACGTTGCGTATTGCACAGAACTGATTTTCTTATGCTGGTATTTGCTGAACAATGTATTATGCAATTTAGTGACATATTGATCGGTGCAGTGTAATTATAACCTGTGATAAGATCTGTGCAAATCTGTATGATTTACAATGTAAAACCATACGACAAATAATAAACATCTTAAATAGCAGTAGTTGCACTTTGTGTCCAGCTAGATGTCACATTTGAGGTTTGACTACAGACCTTGACACAGTAGTAGTACATTAATGAGTTTTTAATTGCAGATGAAAAAGTGGTGATACAATCAACTAAAAAAAAAAGTGTTTTGTGTGTGGAAAAAAAGACCACAGACAAACATTAAAATAATGACAAAAACTACAACTTAGACAAAAAATGATATTGACATGTGATACAGGAAGAGATGGTATGGAGGGGGCTAAAAATACGTATGAGACAAAAAGTTAACGCAAAGTCAGCTTGCTAGCTTTTTCTGGAGCTTCTGCATCTCAGCCTTCATCAGCAGGTGGAGTTATCTAAGTAAGGACATGTGACAACAGGTATTGTAAATAGCAATCCCTTATATATCTCCATAATCTCCACGGCAACTGAGCAAACTCCATCCACTGACCATGTGATTTGGCTGAAACCTCTAATTTAGTGAGCAAGTGGACCTTGAGTTAAGGTTATTTAGTCAAATTACAATTTCAAAGGTCAAGAGTGAACTCATTAAATACTATAATTAGTTATCTTTGACACAAGGTATATATCCAGCGACAAGAATGAAACTATAAAACACTAATATGCTAAGATGTGTGATTCAAACAACACAGAACACAAGTGCACAGTAACAATGTAGATTAAGGGAGCATACCCATTTTTGTATTCACTATTTTGTTGAATTAGATAGTGGGACATTGAGCTGATACAGTATACAATACAATTAAATGCAAATCAAAGTGCTTTACAAGAGACTGACAAAACATTGTTAAAAAGGATTTAGACCTACACACCAAACAATTTAATTAAAAAAGACAATAAAAGATTTGATAATATTGCTAATAATAATAAATATATTGCTAATAATAAAACAGTAAAACAATGGCTAAGATTAAATGGTGATAAAAAATAGAAAAAAGAAAAAACAAATAATGGTCAACAGTAAAATGTTAAAACAAATGAATAGATGTTTTATGGTTTATGTTTAAAAATATAAATATTTTCAGCACCTCTCAGATGTGTCAATATGATGACATATAGAGGGAGGGATATTATGTAGTGTGCTGGTTTGCACAACAGATAGAAATATGTCAAACATAGCGCTGTGAAGTGGTGATTTACTGCATTTCCGACAGGCCGTGAAGGCGGCAGCGGCACAGACGTGGCCGTGGTGCGGCTGCTGCGTTCAAGTGGCGCAGTGTCCCGTCTGGAGGCAGAGCGGGCGAAGTTTCACTCTCTGCATTGCAGCCTGAGCGCTGCCGGAATCCAACACAACAATGGCGACTCCCAGTCCTGACAGCAACTCCACAAGCTCCAGCAACATTGTAGGATCCACGTCGCACCATTTCCACCAGCAGACACAGAGCAGCAGCATGCAAGGTAGGCGACAATGGCCGTTATTTCATAGTTCTCTATTCCAACTGAACACACTGGAGTTAGTAGGAAAAGGTAGCTTGTAGCTTCCCAGAACCAGAAAAGCCATTGTCAAGAGGGACAGAATAATTAAAACCTTCCGGTTATAACTTTCAAAATAAAATCCGCGTTGTTGTCCATAAGACGTATTATTTGTAATATACTGTTGCTTGTGTTTAGTAATGGAATCAAGTTAACTTAAAAATCAATATTTATCTGCTCATGTAAATGTGAAAAGCAGACTTTGGACTGATTATGTGTTGTTAGAAGATGAGCTAGATATCTAAATATATTTATTGGTTTTACAAAATGAAGCCGACTATTTGTACAGATAACTACCCAGAGTGGTGGATGAGTACTAGCAATCCAATATGGAAGATAACTCATCATTTCTCTTCAGTTATTCAGTGGCATGTTGTTACCCGTACTGGGTAGTACAAAATAACGTTAGTGTAGTATTAGTGTTACACATTTTAGCGTCGACAGAATAGATAAAGTAAATGATAATACTAAAATACTCACAACCTACAATTATTGTTTAGCATTAAACAATATCATGTCGAATTTCTCACAACAGTGCGATCCCTTTAGTGTTATTAGCGGTTTGTCAAACTGCTTCCTTTTATTTTGAAGGCTGCATTGCACAGTTTCCGCTGACGCTCTGGCTTTGGTTGCCTAGCTTGCAGTGGCTCCCTGAAACTACACGGCTACCAGGTTAGCAGTGAGGAAGTGTCCCCTGTTTATCTGCTGAACAGACAGACCTGTAGTGGCACAGTGAAGGGTTTCACTCCCTGAGTCCGACATTAGCAACAACACCCAAATCCCACATGTGTGACAGGGGAAAGACGCGTTCAATGAATGTCTGTTCACCGATATTATTAGCAGCAGGCTGCTACAAGTACCACCAAGGCCTACACTGCCAGGCCACTGTTTGAATGCACCGCTGTCTATGGCAAATAAATAATACATTATAAATGATAGAATAATACATTTAAAGTTAGATATGGTAATAATATTCACCGAATCAACATTCATTTTAAAACGTTGATTAATTTGCTCCAGTCGCCTGACAACGTTTGGTCCTCGTTATGTGTGTTAGTTCTGTCGAGATTACAGCCCGTTAAATAATGTAATAGCAGTCTTTAATACTACTGTACTGAAACAATATGTCTGCCGTTTGTTATCGTGAAATAGGTCTGTACATTTCGAGTTTGATAGGGTTTTACTGAGTCCCAGCTCTGAATCCATTATCGGACGGAAAGCTAAGCCTGTTAGCTACCAAAACCTAAAGCTAGTTAAATCAAGTTTTGCCTATGTGCCTATTTCTGCCAGCTGTTTTCGATCAGATGCTATCAGCTAACTCACAGCACTATCCTCTCATATAAGTCATAATAGAAACTGGCAAAGCAGCAGTGTCAGCTGGCGGATGAGTCTGTGGTATGTGGCGTTGCAGTCACACTAATGGTAAACCGGTTTACATACAGTAGGCTGTGTGCCGTCTAAATCTTAGTGGAAAAGGCAGGAGGCCAGACAAGGTCGTGTCCGATAATGGATGTGTTGATGGTAGCTGCTGGGTAGGCATTTCCATTGATTGACTGACTTTCAGAGCCTAATTAACATCAATACAGTCATGTATCCAGTGGACAACAGAACTGAGTTGTATTTCTTCCTCTGTGGCAGATGTCTAGTATCAAATGTTTTATCTAAACCTTACAGAAACCAACACCTGCTGGAGATGTCAAAATGAAACAGGTATTCACTCTTATCTTACTGCTGTTGGGTTACATTGTGTTTGTTCAGGCCATATCTTGGCAAAGGAATTCCTTGAAATGTTCCCTTTCCTCCTCCTGTTGATCATTGTTTTGTGTTTGTTTCCTAATTTCATTTATATATAATTTTTTTTTTTTAGCAAAACCTGCATTTTTATCCACGTATCTGCATGTTTTAGAATATTTTGATCTCATGTAGACACAGTAGACAGACCCCATTTGATGAGACACTGCATCAAGCAGCGCTGTGAGAGAGTTGCATCTCAACTGTTAGCTTCTGGTATGCTGCTGCTTATGGTATATATTTAACCAGAATGACGGTCATGTTCCACTGGAAGATACAACTTCCTGTTAGCATATACCAATTCTCTCTGGCATTATGCAGCTGCTGATAATAGTATGTTCCTGCTGTGTGCCACCTATAAGCAGCTTGTCACTTGTTCCACAGATAGACGACACCGCCGACACACACCAGTAGTGTGCCGCTCTTGCTTCGGTGCCATATGCCTGTTCTTAGTGGTATTCCACTTTTATTTTATGACTTTTCAACTGTCATAAGGTACATATAAAAAAAGTATGTTACCTCTGTCCCAAGAATACATTGGTTTATGCTAGATGTCAGAATGTGATTGATATTTAAGGAAGAGTGGGGTACAGTATGTCAGAAGCAATTTCATTTAACTGCATTATTCTATACATTGTAACATAATATATATTTAATACAAGGCGAGATGTTCTGATACCATTTTCCTTCCCGATACCCAGTGGTTGAGTGCAGGTATACAGAGTATACCCACTTGTTTTTTCAGCCAGCATTGCGTATAAATCCACTTCGAAATCCCCTCTGATCATTCAGTAGTGTTCTGCAGGATGGCAAAGGCACAACACAGTTGTCCAGGTGGATGGAGTAAGGAATGAGGTATGATGCATGTAGTTGCCTCATGGGTCGGTGAGCCAGTATTGATGCAAAATCTGCACCTCTTCTGTAGCGAATGTTCATGTCATAATCATCCTTACTGTCTGAAATCAAGCAGCAGATGTTATGTGAAAATGTGCAAATATTAGGTGAGCTAAATATGGAGCACTAGTCTTACAAGTCACTTTATAACGCAGGACACACACAGGTTTGTCCTTAATTAAGAGCATGCCCTGTTCTCTAGGCACCAGTACACCACTGATCCCGATCCTTGATCTTTGTGTAACGGCTGATACTGAGTACCAATTTGATACATATGCATTAAAAAATATGTATATGTATTATTATTTATTTATTATAAGTGTTTGCTATCATTGTTGTATGGCGTGGTTCAGGTTAAACCCGTAATCAGAGTCAGAGTAAGGCAGGTCATGGTGTTATCTGAGAAAAAAAAGGCTGTTTTGGAGGAGCACAACTCTGCTCCAACTTTTCACCACCTTCCCAAAACTCACAGGGGGAAACACTAATATTGTTTCACAGCAGCCGCGCTGACAAGGCCAACCAGATCTAGGTATCAGTGTGCAAGGAACAAGCTCGGATAGCCTTCACAGCATGCTGGCAGCAGCATCATCTTCCAATGTCATTTTATGGCCTATTCCAGCAGTTGTACTCTGTATCTTACTGTGAAAAGTGGCACCTGTTCACTGGAACATGAGTGTCATCTTATCATGTGGCACACAGCAGCAGCGGCATATGTAAGTAAAAATGATCAAATGCTGGTGGGGAATGGGATCTACCAGTGGAACGTGACTGCCATACTGAGAGTGCTTTATGCCAGAAGAACAGCAGCATCTGAACGTTCAACAGTGATATATCACTCATCATCACTCATGTTGTTCTTTAATGTGAAATAGTGATACGCAGGAGGTTAAAGAAGAGAGAAACCAAATCAAATAGTCATTTTAATACATTCTGCTGCTGGGCTAGTATTGACTAAACCTGTTAACTTCCACTGACAACACACTGGATCCACATCAACTTACATGTACAGTTGCATGGCAGTGCACTGAACCAGACCCACCAAAATATGGTGTTTCCTGTTTACCCTCTAAAGCACATTCAAAGTAACCTGCCCTCTCTTCCACTTTCAGCATTGGCTCTTGCTGGGATGGCACTTTTGAACCATGACCCAATCTTAAACAAGCCCTAAGAAAATGTAGTAAAATGTTTTCTCCTTTACTCCAGGGTTTCAGATAAGCCTGTCTGGATTGTCCCAAAGTAAGCAATAGACTCGCACACAAAGCACACCGACCTCTACTCTTTGTGGGTACACCTCAGTAGTCTAAAGTGGTTTCCTCTCCTCGTTGAGCCACGTTTCTGTTCAATCATTGGCTGACGGCTGGGCGTAGTGCTGCCTTGTGATTGGTCAGCGTTCTCATTGAGCTCCAGATTCTTGACGTGTTTATCATGCATATATTAAGCTGGAGAAAATAGGTGAAAGGAAGCCACTTTATACTATTGAAACAGCCTGTGTGGTGCTCTGGTAGTTGGGGAGTCTGTCCACTGTTCACTGCTATTAACTGTCACGATTTCAGTTATGGCCAAAAGAGATTCTTTTGCACCGGGGCTTAAAGGTTAAGGGATCTGTTTTGCACTCGAGAGCTGGTTGAACAGGGCATGGCAAAGACGACTCAACACTTGAACTCAGTACTTTGCATAGAAGCTAGCTTAATTGGCAGTTATATTCTGGAGATACGTCCTTACTTATGTCGACTCCATTCAGTCACAAATTGGAATCGTGCTATTTAAGTGTTGGGTCACTTTGATATCTCAAGGACACTGTTCAGGTTTGAATTGCAACTTTTTTTTTTAAAGTTCTCAATGGAAATGTTGTACAGGGATTCCCAATATCAGTATCCTGCAGTGAGGCTTCTTTTGGCTCTTCTGCACAAACAACAGTTCCAGTAACTTGAACACAGACATTATTTGGAAGAGAAGGTGTACAGCTGAAAGAACTGCTGCAGTATCAGAGTATTGGGAACCCCTGTACATGTGGGCACTTCGCTTGTGTTCAGAATGCATTTTGTGCTTCCTCTGATCTTAAACACTTGAGATAACCCGAAGGTCAGTCTGTGGATGAAAACAGCTCTTCATAGACTGGATCTTTAAATCATGTTAATGCCACAACCATCCTAACCATCCTCTGTCGACCTATTTTAGTTGGCCAGATTTCATTGTATGGTACTTGATCATATTGTGGCAGGAAGATCCCCTCCAGACATGTATTAAGATGTATGTTTTTTTTGTTAAAAAAAAACACAATTTCGACATTAAAAGACATCTACTCCTTGTGATGTCACAAATCATGCTGGTAGGCCCCGCCCC